ATACTGTGGACATAACACAACTTCAGTGGTGCTCGAAGCTGAGCCAAGCAGAGAGGAAAACCCCAAAGAAGATCAGGATGGAGGAGATACCGGAGGGTCCAAGATGGAGGGTACCAGAGTTCTAGTCTGATTGCTCTTTTAAGAGTACTTTTAAATACTAATAATGGAGAAGGTATTAGTAAGTGTAGTACGGATTTAATCACGTACACTAGGATTATGTTAAATAATATTTTACGATTATTCGTTTGACAGTTTATAGTTTGGAAAATTTCTTAATAAAGTGAACTAGCGGTTTTGGATATCTTTATGGTGTTATGTGATAGCATTTTTTAAATATATATGGTTTTATTAAACTATATTGGGATGATTATGTTGCGTTAATAGATGATTATCCTAGTGGAGTGATTGGGGTATGTGGAACAGGCAAGCAAATAGTTGCTTGTAAATACATGGTGTGGAGACAGGTTGATTACCAAGGAGTTTATAAGAGAACTTGTGTAAATCAATATGGTAGATTTGGTATAAAAGGAGGAATTCCCAGGTTAGAACATAATCTAGAAAATAAAATAATAAAAAATAAAAAATGGGATGATTGTGAAGCATTTAGTTTTACCTTATATGTTTTGCTCTACGGAGTACTTAGAAACATGGGATTTTCATGGATTGGTTGGTGACACACATATGCAGTAGACCTCAGGATATTTCTACACTGTTGGGCAATACTGCCATTTTTCATGAGAGTGATGTGCCTATGACACTAGATATTGGTAGACTCAGATTTCTAGCTAGGATGTTTACGTCATTGTTATGCCACGTTTTAACGGGGACACTAGCACCTATTTGTTTCGGATAAAGTAGGAGACGGAGGAGGGGATTACTGTATCATTGGATAGCATACCAATTGTACAGGATTTTCCGGATGTATTTCAGGAGACTCCAGGGTTGCCACCTTGTCGCAGGATCGACTTTGTTATAGACTTAGCCCCAGGCACTGCTCCTATTGCTAGAACACCATATAGGATGACACCAGTGGAGATACGTGAGTTGAGAGATCGGATTCAACAGTTACTCAGCCAGGGTTTTATTCGCAAGAGTACTTCACCCTAGGGAGCACTCGTGTTGTTTGTGAAGAAGAAGGATGGGTCACTTCGTTTGTGTATAGATTATCGGGAGTTGAACAAGGTTACTATTCATAACAAGTACCCTTTACCCAGGATTTGTGATCTTTTTGATCAGTTAAAGGGAGCTACGTACTTCTCTAAGATTGATCTACAGTTTGGACATCATCAACTTTGGGTTCGGGAGTAGGATGTTCCGAGGACAGCGTTTCTCACTAGATATGGATCTTACGAGTTTTGGGTGATGCCGTTCAGGTTGACTAATGCACCAGCGGTTTTCATGGATTTAATGAACAGAGTCTTCAGGGCTTGCTTGGATCAATTTGTCATTGTCTTCATAGACAACATTTTGATTTACTCGTGGTCAGAGGACGATCATGCTATAAATCTTCAAATAGTCTTACAGACGCTTTGTGAGCCCTAATTGTATGCCAAGTTCAAGAAATGTGAATTTTGGTAGTGGGAGGTGAAATTTCTGGGTCACGTGGGGTCAGAAAAGTGAATTTCGGTGGATTCAGCCAAGGTTTCAGCAGTGGTGGAGTGGGGACAACCTACTTTACTGAGATTCGGAGTTTCATTGGATTGGCAGGATATTACTGGAGGTTCATCTAGGGGTTCTCAAAGACAGCGAGACCACTCACTCATCTGACTAAGAAGGGTGTACGGATTGTGTGGGATGAACATTGTCAAAAGCTTTTGATGAGCTGAAGACTAAGTTGACCTCTGTACCAATTTTGTCTACCTCACACAGCAGGATAGAGTATCTTGTCTACACAGATGCTTCGTTGTAGGGTCTTGGATGTGTTTTGATATAGGAGGAGCGACCGATTTTGTATGGATCTTGGAAGCTTAAGTCTCACGAGCTTAATTATCAAACACATTATTCAGAGTTGGCAGTTGTAGTCTTTGCCTTACGTATTTGGAGGCATTATCTGTTGGGTGAGTCCTTCTGATTATTCAGCGATCACACGAGTCTGCAGTATTTGTTCACTCAGAGGGAGCTAAATATGAGACAACACAGGTGGTTGGAGTTTGTAAAAGACTATCACTTTTCTATACAGTACCATCCAGGGAAAGCGAATGTGGTGGCAGATGCACTCAGTCGCCAACCTGTTGGTAGTCTCTCTGCTCTATTCACTACTAAGTGGAATGCTTTAAGGATAGTGGATGAGTTGTCGGATGCTTTCATGGCTTGCATGGTAGTTACACCTTCTATCATTCACAAGGTTCTGAAGGTAGAACTCACGAATCAGCAGTGCATTGACAAAGTTGCAGAGATAGCTTCTGGAGAGGTTCCATTCAACTATGTTGGGGATGATGGAGGGTTGCGATATAAGGGACGGTTAGTGGTACCTTCTGCTGATGAGTTGAGGAAGGATGTGATGACTGAGACTCACCACTCTGAGTTTTCTGTTCATCCCAGAGGCGACAAGATGTATCAGGATATGAAGCGGCAGTTTTGGTAGGCAGGTATGAAGAGGGACATTGCTCTTTTTGTTTCGCAGTGTAATACTTGTTAGATGGTTAAGATTGATCATCAGAGGCCGCTAGGAGCTCTATAGTCACTACCGATGCCAGAGTGGAAATGGGAGAGCATTTTTATAGATTTTGTGGAAGGGTTGCCAAATTCCTTCAAGGATCACAATTCCATTTTGGTTATTGTGGACAGATTGATGAAATCTGCTCACTTCTTTCCTATTCGCACTGACTTCACTTCAGAGCAGTTGGTGAGACTTTACATTACAGAGATTGTAAAGTTGCATGGCATTCTATTGTCTATTATATCGGATAGGGATTCGAGCTTTGTGTCAGGATTTTGGAAGAGTTTCCAGCAGGCTTTGGGTACAGAGTTGCATCTTAACACTGCTTATCATCCTCAGACTGATGGACAAACTGAGAGGGTGAATCAGATCATGGAAGATGTGCTTTGGTCGTGTGTTCTTGATTTCAAGGGCCACTAGGAGGATTATTTGCCACTTGTAGAGTTTGCATATAACAATAGTTACCAGAAGACTATTAGTATAGCACCATTTAGGGCATTATATGGTCGACCATGTCGATCTCCTGTTTATTGGATGAAGGTTGGAGAGAGCAGATTCTTAGGTCCAGAGTTCATTAAGGAAGATTGCTCTTATTTGGGATCGCATGCGCACTGCCCAGAGTAGGCAAAAGAGTTATGCCGATCGTCGCACTCGTGCTTTGGCATTTCAGGTTGGGGATCAGGTTCTACTTAAAGTATCGCCTATGAAAGGTGTTATACGATTTGGGAAGAAAGGGAAGTTGTCACCGTGGTTTGTCGGTCCAACCATGATTACGGATTAAGTTGGAGCTGTAGCATATCGGTTGGCACTTTCGGATAAATTTGGATCGAGTGCACAACGTGTTTCATGTTTTCATGTTGCGAAAATTTCTATGAGATGAGGATCGATATCAGCATATCGATGTTAAGGAGATTAAGTTGCAGCCGGATGCAACTTATTTGGAGTCACCGTGTCGTATTGTCGACCATCGGAATCAAATCCTTCATAATAAGGTTATTTATTTGGTTCGTGTTTAGTGAAGTCATCACAATGAGGCTGAGTCCACTTGGGAACGGGGGGATGTCATTTGCTCGCAGTTTCCTGAATTATGGGAAGAAAGTCAGAGCGAATTTCGAGGACGGAATTCCTTTTATTAGGGGGAAAGAGTGTAATACCCCTAATTTTAAAAGGATAGTCCTGGTATTTTATTTAATTGTTTAATTGCATTTTTAATTTATTTCTTTGGACATTTGGTTTATTGTTTTAGTTATTGTTAATTAGTTATTATTTATTTGGCCATTTGCGTTATTGTTTTAGTTATTGTTAATTAGTTAAGGTAATTGCAGTATCTATTTATTTATTTATTTGTTTTATTTAATTGTTATTATTTATTTGTGTATTGGTTTACTTATTTTCTTCCATTGGTGTATGCTTATGTGGAAAATGAATTGAGTGTATTATTTATTTTATTTTAATTAACTGGTATGTTTAATTGAATTAGTTTTGTTTATTTCAATTGTTTAATTAGGGTTCTTTTAGAAGTTACGGTTGTTAGCCGACGTAGATTTTCAATAAGGTTTTCTATGGGCTGACTAGGATTCATGGTAGGGTTTGGATTGAACTTAGGTTTTGTATAACCTATAAAGTTTTGTGGGAGGCTGGTAGCTCAAGAGTTGTTTATATGGTTTTCTCAGCCTGGAAGGCTTAAGGTTATGCCTAGGCTTGTCACCTGCAAATTCTCTTCTTGAATGTTGCAAGGAGGCTGCGGTAGTAAGACAGATTGTCAGGCTTGCCAACTGATGCTTTTATGTCTGATACAGAGTGTTTAGTAGAAGTGAAATAAGCACACCTTTGAGCATGTGGAGATCTATGTTCATAGGCTTAAGAAAGCTATGTCGGATAATTTCCATTTCAGGATATTTGGAGGATTTCTGAACTCTTCAAACCTTTTTTTATGACTTTTTAGGAATTTGAGTTGTATAGGAGTCTATTTTATCAACTCCTACATACTTTGAAAAAGAATAGTACTATTCATGCCCCTGATCTCTTTTTGCATCATTATTAGTAAACCAGTAAGTTTTACAACAATCCAGAGCTTCAAGAACTAAAAATTTGCTCCCAGTTTACAAAATATGATGTTTAAGAAATTCAAAAGAGAAACATGTTCATATACTTAACAAATTCCAAGAAATGAAATGTTAACATATACAAAACCCATCAATAGAATTATTCTTTTACCTAGAAACCAATAATTTAGACCATTCAGATTAGTTTAAGTTCAGGCTTCCTATGCATAATAACAAAATAACACAATAGGCATCTCTAAAAGCAGAAACAACACAATAGATGTTAAACAACATACCTATCGTTTAGAAAAGCTATGGTAAGAGCTGTCAATCTGGCAACAACAATGGCTAGCGGCCTCCTAAGAAATCCCAATCCTGCAATTGCCAAAGCACACTCATACTAACACAAACACATGCATATAAATTGAACACACCTTCGCGTCTTTCTACCATATGTATAAATACAGAGAGAAATAGATTGCAAACAAACCTAACAGTAGCGGTCGTCTGCAAATCGCCGAACACACCTTCGCGTCTCTAATACAGGATTCCAGACCTAGGGTTTCTTCTTTAGGGGTTAGGGTTTGTTCCTATGGCCAACTGAAAGAGGCTAGATGGAAAGAGGGAAAAACATTTTCACAGGTTAGGGCTTCGAGAAAGAGTAATGAACAAACGATCTATCTATCGAAATCAAGAAACCGGCTATAAACAAGACTTCTATCTAAACCATTGTACCTAAAGACCCACTTACCTTCTTGATCGGTGTGGAACGATAGTTGAGATCGACAATAATAGGTCACATCAACACAGAAAGGAAGCCCCCGGCACCCATACATTAAGGTGAGCCTCATTGCTTTTCGTTCTGTATCACCAGATGATGGGGGGAGAAACTCCGATTTTAGCTTCGATCAACAAAGACGAATCCCAATCGACCAGATCTGATCTTCATCTTCGATCTGACCAGCAGTGTGTGTGTTTTTTTCTGTATGGGTGTGTGGATTTGTCTACTGATTATATATATATATATATTTTAAAATTTTTTTGAACAAGGTAAGCATTGAAAATTTCGCTTTCTACCACGGTTCATGCTGAACCGTGGTAGAAAGAGTTAATATAAATCTAATATAAATTCTTTTTTACCACGGTTACTCATGAACCGTGGTAAAAAGACTATTTTTTACTACGGTTATCCATTAACCGTGGTAGAAGACCCTCTCTTTATCACGGTTACTCATGAACTGTGGTAGAAAGATCATTTTCTACCACGGTTACCCATTAACCGTGGTAGAAGACCATTTCTAACACGGTTTTAAAATAACCGTGTTAAAAAATATACTTTCTATCATGGTTATTTTAAAACCGTAGTAGAAAGGGTCTTCTACCACGGTTTTTTAAAAACCGTGGTAAAAAGTGCGGGGTAAAAAACTATTTTTCTTGTAGTACAGGCCTGACACCTATTTTGGTAAGTTTGAAAACTTATACCAAGTTTGGAAAGTGTCCTAACCTAAAAATTCATCTTCCTAATGTGTTATTCTTTCTTTTTTTGTAGATCTCAGTATATTGAACCTGAACAACTTTCCAATTCCACAGCCAATTTCGATCTTGAATTTTGAACCTGAAGTTACAACTCGATTGGACTTGTTTTGACAATGAAATTAGCCAATTACAAAATATATATCTCACAAGTATAATGTGCGCTTAATGAATTTATAAAAAATATAGGGTAATTCAAATCAAATGGGAAGGAATTCAAGTTCAAGTTGAAGTTGCACTTATTAAAGAGCTAGAAAAAAGAAAGTTTGAAGATGCAAGGGTCGTGGTTGTGCTTTTTGAATTTCCTTGGCCGATGTGAAAACTTTTAGTACATTTGGATGGGTTCACTTTTTTTGTGGAAATTTCTTGTGGTTGTGTTCACTACTTTTGTGAAAACTTCTTTTGGTTGTATTTACTTCTTTTGTGAAAACTTCTTTAGCAGCTTTATTTATTATGATATAAACTCTTATTCTTTTTAGTTACCTAAATCTATTAGTACATGACATTTGGATGGTATTTTAATATTGGCAATTAAGGTTGATATCTTAAAGTACTATTGGTTGTACATGGTACTTGTCTTATTTATAAATAGGTTAAATTTATAACTAAATGGGTTTTATAGGGGAATGAAAAAGTCCAAAGGAAAAAAAAAAAAATCTGGGTAAGCACCGGCATTTATTAAAAGAGTGCTGGTAATGACTAAATATAAGTGTTTTACCTGCACTCAATAATGAGCGTTGGTAATGACTTATTTCAGCACTTATTACGAGCGTTGGTAATGACTTATTTCCAGCATTCATTAATTAACGCTGGTAATGACTTTTTACCAGCGTTCATGAAAAAGCCCTGGAAATAAGTCATTACCAGCACACATTAAGGAGCGCGGGTAATGACTTAATCCTAAAAGGAACCTTAATCCTGGCACTCTCTAAATAGCTTTGGTAAAGGCCTAACGATGCAAGCAACACCAGCGGTCAACTATGAACGCTGGGGAAATGTTGGTAATTCAATTACCATCATTTTTCTTGACTTTCACCAGTGTTTCTGAGCACTGGTGAAAACCATTACTGTTGTAGTGATAAAAATATAGTTTTCTCACTTAGGGTTGTGTGGCATTTTTCATTAAAATTCTGATTTTTATTGAGAGCCTTTTTGTGATATTTTTTAAGAACACACACAAAGTATATACACACGAGTGAATTAGGGTGTTTTTCAATTTCCTGATTGAGTTCAAGTCTATTAAAGATTGCATCTTCAACAATCAAAGAAGAAAGATCTTATTTCTTCTACAACAAATTTAGATTTGAAGAAGAAGATTTTTCGATCACACTTTGAAAGGATCAAGGCAGTTGAGGAGTGTTGTTGATTTACCAACAATCCTTCTACAAGTTTCAAAGCATAAGTCTGAAGTCGAGAGTTGTTGGACATGAAGTCACAAAACTTGGGGTGTTTAGTGGATTGAGTCTTGGTAGAGTGAATGGGTGTGAGCCTAAGTCAAAGTTTGGTGTACTTTGCTGCATATATAGTAGATTGTTTTACACACGGGACATAGGTAAAAGCCGGTGTCACTTTAACTTTACTTTCTCATTCTTTTATATGTGATTGTTAATTAACCGGTAATTTTAGGAGAGTAAAAATTGGATAAAAAAATACATGATTAATCCCTCTCTAAAACATTTTTTAAAACTCGACTTTCCATAACGTATTGCGTTGCACAATTCACAATTGGTATAAGAGCCGATCCCTATACATTCAGTTGATCCTAGTGGAAAGTTTTTGTTTTGTTTACCAAATAAAAATAAAAATAAAAATAATAATAATAATTTCATCATGTCTTATGTTTTGAAAGAGTGTGGATCTAATCAAAGTGGTCCTTTGTTTGAAAGAAACAATTACTCTTTTTGGAAATCAAAGATGAAACCTAATTTGCAAAATTCAGCAAGCTAGTAAAGTCTAATATTTTGAGGATAAAGAATAGGATGGTAAGACTAAGAGGGTTTTGCGAAGAGAATGACCATTTGAAAGATAAATGTGATGAGAGGTGAAAAATACATCCTAAGAGGGTTTGGAAATGAGATATATCATTTGAGAGAAAATACATTGAGAGATGTAAAATACATCCTAAGAAGGTTTTGAGATGAGACCCATTTGAAAGGTAAATATGCTGAGAGATGGAAAATACCTCTTAAGAGAGTTTTGAGATCAAAAATGTCATTTGGTTGATAAAGTATGGTGAAATATATTAAATACCTCCTCAAGATTTTGAGATGAATGCAATTTAAGGGACAAAAAAATTAATTAGAAGTACATATCTTTTGTGTAAATGGGGTACGATTTACTATATTTTTGTCCTCACGTATATTTTTGGACAAAAAATAAATACAGTAATTGACACCGTCTCTCTTTTCTTGACTCTGTACCACTCAAAAGTATAGGTGACCTTACAACAACAAAATTAAAAATTAAAAAACAACTCAATAAAAAAAAATAAAAAATTAAATAAAGCAAAGTAACAAAATAGTTGAAACCAACGATTAAGATGTATTCATTAGTTTATTTATTTGTAACATTGTCATTGATCCTAAAATTTGTAAATGGCACCGTAGATAAGCCATTTTCTACCATAAATATTGTGTTAAAAGATCTATCGATAAGTGTGAATTTGATTCTATATATTGAAAATGATATATTTGATAGTACTATAAATAATGAAATTATCATAGGGCAATTTTAAAAATACAAAAACTCTTCAAGGCCAATGATTGGAACAAAAAACAATTTGTGATGCTGATTGGGGGGTCCCAAAGTTAAAAGGGCTTTATGGTCAAAATATTTTGTGGGAAGAATCAAAGATGCTTTATTATAAATTTCCTATAAATTTACAAGTAGTGAGCAGCCAATTAATACCATCCAATGCTTTCTCACTCAATAAGACTTCTAGAATCAGTTTTTTATTTCTACATGTTTTATCTAATAAATATTTTAAGATCAAACGTGGAAACTAGAACTCCATTTTGGAATCAAATGTGTGTTTTTTATTTCTTTTCACACATACTAACCTTTATCCTCACACTATAAATACTAACTTTATCCCTCACAAATTATTCACACAAAAACATTCTTACAAACTGTTTACACCATAAATATTTTCCGGCTGGAAAGGTTTGTCGTGGCTAGTCCCATTGGAAAGGTGATATACAAAAGCGCAATCATGAAGCAACATGTGGCTTCATCAAATGAAGCCATGTGGTACAAGATCTGCAGTTGGAAAGACGTGGACTTTCCAAGGGGACACGTGGCAAACATCTGGAAAGCCATATGTACCTTTGACCTAGTCATCAAGAATGATAACTCCCCCACTCCTATAATATCTCCTAGTTTGTATGAGTCACTCCAAGAATAGAGCAACCACTTGCCTTATTTAGGTGAAGAGGTTGCTAAAAATTAGCAAAGTGGGCTAAAAACATGATGCATTTACCAAAGAAAGATGAGGAAAATATGGGACACGTGGCATGTTCGGGACCTTCCAGATAGAATTTCTCAACTTCTGGAACTGCTGCCTTTCCATCTGGGCAGTTACAAAATGTGGGATAAGGCCTACAAACATGCATTCAACCGCCAAAGTCCACAATCTATCAGTTATAAATCATGGGAGAACATGTTCTTACATGTGTCAACACTATGAGAAGATGAGAAAAATGTGGGACACGTGGCATGATCTGGACCTTCCAGATAGAATTTCTCAACTGCTGGAACTGCTGCCTTTCCATCTGGGCAGTTACAAAATGTGGGATAAGGCTACAAACTTGCATTCAACTACTAAAGTCCACTATCTATCAGTTATAAATCATGGGAGAACATGTTCTTACCTATGTCAACACTATGAGAAGACTAAGGAAGACATGGGACACGTGGCAAGATCTAGACCTTCTAGGTGGAAGTTCTTAATTGCTGCTATAACTGCTGCCTTTCCATCTGTGCAGTTCCAGAACATGGGAGAAGGCTTGCAAGCATATATTCAACCACCAAGTCCACTATCTATCAGTTTTAAGTCATGGGAGAATATGGTTTTAGACTTGGCAACATTTAGAGAAGGTTGAAAGATCATGGGACATATGGCAGTCCGAGATTTGGCCACGTGGAAGCTGCTGAAGCTGCCACATCAAGCTGCTGTATGCATGGAGCTCTATAAATAGAACACTTATGCTTCAGTTGCAAACCCTGTTCAACACACACAACCAACAGCACTTCAATTTCTTTACATTCATGTATCTTTACATTCATGTAATGCACTTTCAATATGTTTAATTCAAGTCTTGCACTTATTATTCCTACTTTCCAGCACTTTACTTTGAAGTCCTACACTTTCAATACAGCTTTCCTTTCCACTAGCCATAGTTCAGTCCGAAAGTCCTTTTTCAAGGCAAAAGAACCCTTGAAGGTGGT